AGATATTGCAAATAAGGGAAACCATGGGACCTATGTTTCTTTGGGCCTGGCTTACTTCACTTAATATAATTTTTTCCAAGTTTTTCCATTTCCTGGGTTTTCTGTTCTTTTAGTGAGAGGATTTTTTTCTTTAGATTTGAATTTTACCCGCTACAATATTATAACCAGTTTTCCTCTTTTTAAAAATGGTACGCAGGGTGATAATTCAAAAATATGTATATAGTATGTATTGACCAAGCCAGGGAGATTCGTATATCTCCTTAAACAAAAGCCAAAGGGTTTTTGTTGTTGTTTCTTTTTCTTTTTTTCGATGCTGGGAATGAAACTCGGGGCCTAGTACAAGCTAAACAAGTGCTATAGCACTGAGCTACATCTCTAGCTCCACGCTTTCTCAATCTCTGCATCACTGGATAATGACTATTTGATTTCTTATGTGACAGAAGAAATAAGTTGACATCTCTAAATAAACTGCCAATTTCCACCAAAAAGTGAAATCTTCTAAGAGTTCATGGCAAGTATATTGCCATCTCAGTATTATTTAAAAATCCATTGGCTATTTGTGAAGCTTTAAAAAAGATATTAGCTGGCATATAAAACAATCAAGGATAGAATACCATATAACTGTTTATTAAAATAAATAATCTTCAGCTGGGGGCTGGTGGCTCATGCCTGTAATACTAGCTACTCAGGAGAATGAGATCTGAGGATCATGGTTCAAAGCCAGCCTGGACAGGAAAGTCCATGAGACTCATCTCCAAAAAACCATCAGAAAACCGAAAGTGGCACTGTGGCTCAAGTGGTAGCCTTTAGCTGAAGAGCTCAGGGACAGCGCCTAGACCCAGAGTACAAACCCACAACCGACAAAAAATAAGTAAATAACAATAAATAATTTTCTATTTTTTTAGACTGAAGGATGTTACAGCTTATTACAATGCAACAAAGCTGCATTTCTTAAACTGATTGTACTGTTAAAATATTTCACTATTTTAATTTAGAATATCTGCTTAAGTAAATGAGATAATTTAACTTACACTAATGGAAATATGCTTAATGGGGCTAGTTTATTTTCATCTCTTTTAATTTCAAGTAGTTGTGTCCAGAAAGAATTGTTGTTTTTTCCCTCTGTAATTGGTGTTACTCTTAAGTGTCCCTTAATTTAACAATAGCAAAAACCTACAATGATGTTGGTTCTCAAGTAACTTTGGCTGCTATGTGCCAAGCACTTAGACATTTGTGGCAATTTTTTCCAAAGCCCATGAGCTGGTTACTATTAGGAGGTCTAAATTACAGATGAATAAACAGAGCCTTGTAGAGGTTAGTAACGTGCCAAATTCACAGAGTTAGCATATGAAGGAATTAAACTGAGCCAGGCAGGCCAACAGAAAGTCTATTCCCTTAACCATTCCATGTGGTACTTCTTTATCTGTGTTCAGAATTGCAATCTAGTAACATCTAAAGAGAAGCAATTCTCCTCATTTTCTTTTTCATACTCAGATCTGGTTGTACTAAAAGTGACACTGGTGGCCATCTATTCTGCTTAAAGACCTTAAAAACTAGATCAAAAGCTTTCCACAATTAATTTTTAACATACCACACAGCTCCTTTAGCTATTCTAGGGCTATATGCTGCTACTATTAGAATGACTAGAACATCTAAGTTAATAAAATATTCCATTATTTTAGATATAATGACATTCAAATGAAAAGTTCAAAGTATGTGAAGCACTGAGAATAACACTGAGAAACAGCCACTCTCAAATGTCAGCCATAATCATTATTTTATGAATGTGGATCTGAATTTTGTAGTATGTTGTATTAGGAGAGTAAAATATATACACTGAATAGCCCTTGATAAATGGCACTGAGGATAAAAAGTATAATTTTTTTCACATAAATGTATTAATCTTATAGTAGGCATTAACAATGAATGTATTACCAACAGATGATCGCTAATAAAGCTCTCAGTTTACAGCTGCTTATTTGTGTTAAATCCACCATAAAGCCAAAGATTATAAATATTTAGCATTTCACAATGAAAATGAGTTTATGTTCCTGTTTAGACAATGGTATTATTAGCTAGGGGAATGGCCAACCAAACAAGACAAAACACAACACTTCACTAAGTAGTGTAAACAAAAGGCATCAAAGTAATCATGCTTACTAATTTTAACACAATTTGGAATGTTTTCTACTCATAACATTCTAAAGCCTGAGTTTACTCAGAAACATTTTTGGAGCATTACACAAAGTATTGTAAATGACTGCAGTTCAAGTCCACTACGCAGTTCTTCCACTTGCTTATGAAATTATTCTATGGTCGTACAACAGACAACTAAATGAAGAGGGCATCTGGAAGTGCCTTTCTTCAATTCCTTGGCTGTGGTAGCAGGTAGTTCTGGATTTGAATCATGACTACATTATTTCCTAATTTGTGACTCAGTTTCCCCAACTGTCAAAGAAGAAGATTGTGGCCTATTTCAAAAATTATTGGGAAGAATGTATAAGGCAAGTTAAGTAAAGCACCTAATATGCCATTGGCATGTGTTAGGTGCTAAGTGATACTTGCTGTCTTTTAACCTGAAAATCTTCCTAGGACATTCATCCTCCAGACCATAGTGTCAGTTGGGATCTCTGATCAGCCCTCTTTCCTGTTCTTTTATCTAGCGTGCGTGCATGCACACGCACACGCGCGCACGCACACACACACACACCATCTTTTTTTCTTAAAAAATTAATTGTTATGATAAAGGTGATGTACAGAGGGGTTACAGTTACGTAAGTCAGGTAATGAGTACATATGTCACGCCTTCCCTCACACTCTCCCAGTTTTTCCCTTCCATCCCCATTCACAAGTTGTATAGTTCACTTTTCAACATAGAGTCCAATGAATACCACTGATATATTTGTTCACCCTTTGTCTCTCCACTTTGTAACCCCCTTGCCCTCCCAAAGACAGATAAACAAGACAAAATAAACGAAAATAAAAACAGAAGACACCCACTTCCAGTTCCTGAAATTCATTTTGCTAAGTATCATTTTATATGATCGGAGGCACATAGGCATTGTGTCTCTGTGCTCCTCTCCTAAGAATATTCTCCTTTACATCATTGTATTTTTAACCCCTACCTTGCCTTATTTTTTTCTTCATGGGATCTGTTGTTATCCTACATGTTATTTGCTTACTGCTTTTTTTTTTCTGTTAAGTTCATCTATGAGGTTAGCAGCTTTCACAGTTTTATTATCAACAATTAAAATAATGCATAACATATAGCAGACATGCAAAGATTGTTTATTGAATAAGTAAACTTTCTTCTGAACAGCAGAAGAAACCGTCCTCATTTTGTTATTACAGTTATGTTAATGACTCAGTATTTTATGATACTAGTGTAAGAGACAACTTAAGATGCTTTTGTTGGAGCTTATGAATTAAGTAAAAGTCCCCTAACTTTGTGTCTGTGCCCTTTGATCTGAACTATTCGCTGCTGCAGTCCCTTTGCAATTACCTTGTTTTGAAGAGGAAAGAATATTTAGTGAGAAACATCTTTTGTGGAAGGTAACTTGCCTCTCAAACAGGCAATACCTTCTTATCATCTTAAAGAAAACAGCTCAAAACTCAGGAGATCACCTTGCCCTCAGTAATAAAGTGATAACAGTTCCCCAGTATTACTTGAAGGACAAAGTGAGCTAATGGCCAACCAGGCCACACATTTGTGACTTGAGGCTATTTTAACCATGGATACCTTTCTTACTCCCTGACCACAATCTTATCTATTTAACCCGAAGCTAATACGTACCCCTGAAGACGTGCTGAAGTGCTGTCTTCCCATGGCTCCAAGGTACTAAACTTCTTTTCTTGGCCCTTCACTATATTTCTTCATTTGGGATATAAGTGCAAGTGGCCAGGCCTACTGTAGAACTCCTGTACTTTGTGCTTGGGGGTCTAAAAACCCAATTTCACTACCAATGATATATCCCTAATCAAAGAAATCTGCTGTAAATTTGCTATTATCCTCTAAAAAAACAAGGAGACTAGAATATCACCCTAATCATATCTTCAGCTATTTCATGCATAGTATTTTGCATGGTAATACAGTTCTGCAAAAACATTGATATAATTAAGGTATTATTTTTATTATAAATAACTAAAAAATAAAGCCTTCTAACTTCTCTTATTATGCTTCCAAATGTGATAAAAACTTAGCAAACTAGGATCAGCATACAACTTATTTAATCTGATAAAAAATACTTTCAGAAAATCTATGATAAGCACCATACTTAGCAGAGAAAACCTGCAAACATTCCTCCTGTGAACAGAAATGAGGTGAACACACCTCCTAGCAACACTTCTATCTCTGTCTAGCTCAGAT